AAAGATAGTTTCTTAGTTCATTGAACAGAGGCTTGTGCTAATATTGTTTGGCCAATAAAATACCTATATCTTGTACTGTGAGTAACTAACTTAAAGATAACATTGTTACTCTCATATTACTTAGTTTTGAAATTGTTTTATATTTTTTCTCTTTAAAATAAGATCTTTTTAAAAAAGAATTTAACTTCCAGACCTGCAAGTGCTTCCACAAGAAGATGCGTGAGCCCCCAGCGCGTGCCAGCTGCGTGCAGCCCAGAACACCACGGTGATCACTCCTGTCAGCTTCAGCTACCATCTCTGGATCAGGCGCTGGAATGTCTCCCTAGCTGGCTTCCTGCTTAGATTTATCCCTCACAGTTCTTTCCCCAAAAGCCTGCAGTGATCATACTTAAATGTCAAAACATGCCCATCAGAGCCTTCCAAGGACTCCCAACTGCAATTAGAGTAAAATCAAGACTCACAAGCTCATTTAACCTCTACTACTTCAGCCCTCAGCACTCACATTTCACCGTGTTCCCCCCACACTGGCCTTTCTACTCCAGAACTATGCCATGCTTTTCCCACCTTAGGGCTACTGAAAAAATTGAGACTTCCCTCTAGACAGATATTCAAATCATCGTAATCTCAGCTGAGCTCCTCCATCTCATTATGTTTTATCTCCTACAGGACATTTATGAATCTAAAATTCCATCATCTCCCACACCATTCTATTATAATTCTAGAGGACAAAACTTTGTCCTGTTTCTCAGTAAGAGTCTAGCACTCAGTATTCAATAAATAATTTTAAATGAATGGAATATTTTCATTTTTGCATATAATTTCAAGAGAAAATTTCAAAATCTTTCATTTTGATCCTACTATGAATCAGAAAATTATTCTACCACACACTTAGATTTCCCAAGCATAAGGGAAAAATAAATGTGGTATACATAATTAGTTGGCAGAAGATAGTAAGAAGAAAATGTTCTGCTGCATATGTTCCAGATACATTAAAGTTCAAAGCTGAAACATTGTGATTTTTCTTGAAAATTGGCTAGATTTCTACTCTGAAAATGTTCCAATCCTGCTGCATTCAAATATCAGATTTTCAGCTGATTCATACTCACAGAAGTGAAAGTTATTCTTCCTAAAATAGAAAAACATACCCTCTCATTTCTATAACTGAAGGAGATCATTGATTCACTCTGTTATTATCAATCATGTAATTTTTAAATAAAACTGAACCGATACAAATATCAAGATCAGTCTTCCATTAGGCCATGTTTTTTGTTTCAGGTTAATTTCATTTGATAAGAGTAAATGATTACCTAGTATATACACAATGTCAGTATCAATAATAAGGAAGTAATAATTTCAGCTTAAATTAATAAATTCAATCCAGATTTTTTCTTGGAGATCATGTCAAGTCTTACTGTCAGTACTACCTTGATTGAACATAATGTATCATAAAAATCATTTTATTTGCAACAAAGTATATCAATGAGAGAGTCAGGAAACAATAGACTTAAAAGTTTAGAAGTCTAATTATTCTAATTCACTATTTTTACTAGCTTCAAAAAGACACTTTTTTCCTGAAAAAAAAAAAAAAAAACCCTCAACTTATCCAAGTGTTAGCTACTTAAGTATACACACGTAAGTGAACTACTTAGGTTAGTGGTTCTTATGAAACTATGGAATCTGGAGCTGGGGATATAGCTCAGCAGCATAAGCACCTGCCTGGCAAGTGCAAGGTCCTGAGTTTGATCTCCAGTACCACAAATAAAAATAAAAATTAAAAATAAAACTATGGAATCAAAATAGAATTCTAAATTAAATTCTAGGGGCTGGGGAGATAGCTCAGTAGAATAAGTGCTTGCCTGGCAAGCACAAGGACCTGAGTTCAATCCCCAGTACCACAAAAAGAAAATTTAAATTCTAACAAAATACGAATAACCTAAAAAAACATCAATCCCATTTGAAAGGTAGTGCTACTTTGCTAAAAGATGACTACAATTTTGTCTAATAGAAGAGGACATCTGGCTCCACCTTTACATTTTTTTCTGTGTTAACATCCATACTATGCATAATCTTATGATACAGAAAACATCACTTCATGTAAGTGTGATGTACAATATGCACCACTTCATAATTTTTCAACTGTTTGCTATTCACATCAATCAGATACTTAAGCAAGCTTCTGCCAATAAGCATTCCTTGTATCCCAGTTAGATCTTACTTGTTGACTGACTCCTTAAAATATTTTTTTTCATTTTAATATTAGGTTAGCACTGCACTTATTGGGTATCAGATCACTCACTGCTGGAGTCAAGATAAAAAAATATACTGAAGACATACTTGAATATTTCTATTACACTAACAAATTGCTACATATCTTACTAAAATTAAAACAATCCCCAAAATATAACCAATCCGTATAGAATTATGATATTCTTACAGTCTGGCAAGCTTATTCTAACATGTGTGATGACTCAATTCACACTTCATTCTTTTCAAGCCCCTAAAAAACCTAATTCACATATAAGGCTTTCTCTCCATGAGGAACAAAAAAAAACAAAAAAAAACAAAAAAAAAAAACCAGCCAGGCTGGGGATATAGCTCAGTGGCACAAGTGTTTGCCTGGTCCTGAGCTCAATTCCCAAGACAAAAAGAAAAAGGAAAAAATGAGCCACTCCAATTGTAGGCTAAGTTCAGTTACAGAGTAGTTACTTATATGAATAACCTTTACCTTCTAAAATCATGTACAAACCCTTAAAATACTCCTCTGAGGACACATATATATGTCCTTCTGTGTAAGTCATATGTATTTTATTAACTTAAAAATTTGACAAACACTCATAAAGGATAACTTTTTGAGATAAAAACAAGTATCTAGTATCTTTAAAAGTGACAATACCTTTCCTTTACCACTTTCTGATATCTGACCTAAAATGAAAACATTTACCATAACTAGACAGATTTTGTAAAAAGATCTCAATCGAGGTTTAAACTTCTCAAAAAAAAGAAAAGGAAGCCCAATTTGACAAAGATATTTAGGGAAAGGTAAATATATACTGAGTGCTTTCCCACTATTATGTTTGCTGAGCATTGTTTTTCCAACTAAATCCTGCATTGTGGTGGCCAGGCCTTTCTCCATCTGTGTCCCTAAAATCCTTCCTTAACTCAATCAGAAACAGTAAACAATAGGTAAAAATATATACATCTCCAATAGATACATAAGTTCTTACTGTCCTGGACAAAGAATATAAAATTTCAAAAAGCACAAATTTTTACTTATAATAGACTGCCATTATTTATATTAGTAAAAGTATTTTAAAACTGCTCCCTTAAAATTGTACTACAGGGACACTACATCAGATAATACTACCTAGGGCATCTTTAGCTACAGCACTAGGATTACCAAGCTTATCTTCAGTAATATAATCAGCCCAAGCTAAAGCAGTAGCTGAAGCTAAAGCAGCAGAAAATATGAGGGTCACAGAAATCTCTGATGCCCTCTTAGACTTGACCCTCTGGGTCTCTGCTTCACAGATGTTGTTTCTTTTATCCACTGACATAAATTATATA